AGGAAAACGTATCTTACAAGGTTCCCACCTGATTTTAATAACACACTTTTTTTATAACTTTAAAATGTCGAAATTTTAAAAAAGTCAGTTTACCAGGTTTGGTATTTATTGCTTAAAATTTGTTTAAGTTTTTCCCGGTTTTTCCACACATTAGGTAGAATAATGCTTAAAAAAAAATTGTTGTAGTATAAAACTGATTTTTTTTTAAATTTCGACATTTTAAAGTTATAAAAACTGTGTGTTATTCTTTTTACCCAAATCATCAGGTGGGAGAACCTTGTAAGATATGTTTTCCTAATCCCAATTTTATGAGATTTTCATCAATGTATTCAAATTAATTGTAGTTCAGCTACGGTTCAGCAGATATGAAAATTATTTTGAATCAAACATGCGTTTAACAAAAAAAAACACAAACGTGGAAATTATCACCCTTATTATTATTGATAATTCGATTATGGTCACAAGGACTTTTTTTGTTCCATTTGAGGTGTAGAAACACCTCTAGAAGTTTGACACATTTATCGTGCAACACCTTGTATACGTCTATAATTTATATTATACATTTCGCACGATGCACGGCGACTTATATTAGCCGCGTGACACAGATTTATACCCAAATATTCATGTTCTATTGCAAATTCTACGTACTTCCTGTAAGTGCAGCTACAGCGGATCGATTCTCTACTGTTAGGCGCCTTAAGACGTGACTTCGTTCAAACATATGGGAGAGGAACGCCTAACCGGTCTCGCTTCGCGCAATATTCATAAAAATTTATCGATAAATGTTGATGATATTAATATCTAAATTTATTTGGTAAAACAAAACAAAGAAAGTTAAATTTTAAAAATTAAACATAAATAATAAAGGTATAATTTTAGTTAATAATTTACTTTGATTATTTTTTAATTGTGTACCTACTTATTATATTATCTTTTTGTCCTTTCGAAATAATGATCCCCCCCAATTTTAGTTCTAGATCCGCGCCTGGTATACAATATGGTATTATTAACGAATGACAGACACCTGTAGCAAATGTCACGAGAATTGTTTGGAGAATTTACGATGTGTAGAAAATGCTAATATAAATATTTGGTGAATATTTGAAGAGTTCATTTTGGAAATACAACAGAATCTAAAAAATCGATTACTACTCATAAAAAATTAATGTTCCGGTTAAGTAAACTTATGTGAAATCTTTTATTGACATTTTTAATTTTAGCTACGATAGTAAAATCTTTTATGAATTCCTAACTGAAAAATAATTTAAAATATTTGAAAAATTTCTCATAGTTATAAATAGCTCAAAAAGAGTCAAAATTGTTTTAACATTTTACCATGTAAGAAAAATTTTAATTTTACCATGTAAGAAAAATTTTAATTTTAACATTTAGTAAAAATTTTAAGCATCTAGGATTATTCGTTTTAAATTACAACAAAATATCAAAAATTGATAGGTAGATGAAAATTGAATATTCAATAATGATGTACACATTTTAGATTCAAAATTTCAAACACTCATAAAAAATGAATGTTACTTTCCAGTAAACTTTTTTTTTTGTTTAAGGTAGGAAAAATTATGAGCAGTCTTCTATCAACATTTCTAATGTTAGGTATGAAAGGAAAAACTTATATAAATTTCTAACTGAAAATTTTCGAAATTTTGATGAATTATAAATTCTAATATTTGATATACCTATCATTATAAACAATTTGTGTTTCTACTAAAAACAAAGAAATAAAAAAAAAACTTACGTTAAGCTAAAAAAAACTATTAGATTCTGAGTGGAACGATGAATGTATTGATTTTACAATGATGTGTGTTTTTTTTCATATTTTTTTTTGTGTCTGTCATCACCTTTTAGGAGAGTAAAAGTGCTTGGATTTTCTTCAACAGTATCTTTTCTGATAGGAACGTGAATCTGGTTAGTACTTTGAGAGGTCAAAAGTAAAATTTTTCCAATAGTTTTTAAAGGTTAAGTTTTCAAAAGCGCCTTGAAAAACAATAGAAAAATTATTAAGGAAACACGGACATTTTTAAGGAAAATACGATTTTTTACTAAATCGATTTTGGTTGTTGGTTTAACTCTAAAACAAATGACCGTAGGTACATTGCAATTTTGACTGAATGTTTATCTTAATATTTTCTACATATACACCATATAACATTTTCTAAATATTTTGACTTATTTTAAGCTATTTACGAACATTTTCAGTTTCCATTTTTTTTTCTATAGATATCAATGAAATTTTATTTGTAAGTTAAAAAAGCTTGATAATTTAATAGTAAACTCATAGTACATTGTTTCAAAGGTACATGAAAAAAATTAAAAATCCATTGTCACAATTTTTTTTTTTATAAGCATTTAGTTCAATTGACAAAATACGTAAAAATTACGAAAATGTGCAAATTATTTTGTGTTAGAAATTTCATAAAAATTTTTCTTTTAAAAAAATCTAAGGTTTGAAAATGTAGTAAAAGATTATTCATAAGTCCAATTGTCCAGATGTTTCGGTATGTTGTCGAGATTCGAACTTGAAATGCTTATAAAAAAAACTTTGTTTAAGGATTTTTAATATTTTTCATCTGTTATTGAAATAATACATTAGGAACCTTCTATTAAATTTTCAAACAAATAAAATTTTATTGATAGTTATAGAATAAAAAAACCCAAAAACATTGAAAACTGAAAATTACCGTAAACAACTAAAAATATATAAAAGAATTATAAGAACAAAAACACCTATTATATCAATCTATTGAAGAAGAGAAGTATAAAAAGGTTGTGCTGAATTATAGATGGGACTATGCACGGCGTTGTTCGTCGGTAGTGCACTTGTACCGAGAGTCTAGTTGGGTTTAGTTAGGTTTCGTTGGGTTTCGTTAGGTTTAGTGAGGTTTCGTTGGGTTTAGTGAGGTTTAGTGAGGTTTAATCTAACCTAACGCTGCTGACGGCATTGGGCGATATTATTATTTAGATTTAAACAATTTCGATAACCGCAGCGCCATCTAACGCCGCTGAATAATTTTTAACACCAAGTCGTGTTTGAAGAACTGGCCCTCGCAGACGCTTAATTTCCCAGTTAGATAGCGTTGTCATAGAGACATGGACGATTTACAACACTCACATCTCCAAGACTCAGCAATTTTATTTGCAAATAGTTGAGTAGCAAAATTTATATTTTTTATGCTAAGTAGATATTGTAGGTTGAAGATTTTTGTATTCATTTGTGTGTCAAAACACATAGAAACTTTGTTTTTAAAAAGTAGGTACCTATCTATTTTTCAATTCACAATTTGTCGTTTTATTTAACTCATATGAGTTCATATGGGAAACCAAGTTCAGTTATATACTCTGAAAAAATGGACGTAGATTAATGGCACATTGATTGACAATTATTGTAATTAATATAATCAATTAAATAATCTTTATTAAAGTTTCTGAGTAGGTACACAAAAATATCCTTATTTAAATCCAAAAGTACAACTTTAAGTTTGACATCAATTGTCAACAACATTTTGGCACGGTCATAAACTTGGAAATGCCTAAACGGCCAAGTTTCAAAATGTTAGACGTGATTTACACTTTTGAGGATAACAGAAAACGGCTGTACAACATTTGGAGCAAACATTTTCACATTGTGCGGCCAACTTCACGGACCTGGTAACAGGTGCCTCCTCTATATTAATCTATGGGCAAACCGATTTCATCAAATTTAATACTCAAGAGAAAGCAAAAAACGAGTATTTTCATAATTAACAAGATCGCTCCAAAATTCCCTAACCATTTATCAAACTATGTCCCGTTTTCTTTGTTAGTTGTCAGTTGTCTTGTTGTACAGCAATACGTTGGTCCCACAATTTTTATTTTGTTTGCTTCCAAAATTACATTGATTTGAAATAATTTAGCAGGATATGGTATGTTATAAACTGTATCTGCTTTATGTTCACTACTATTAATTTCAATATTCCAATCCCTGCATTTGTTAAATTCACTTCAAGGTATTTATAAGTATCTACTTTTTCAAAGATATCACCATGAAAATTATTATCTTTTAAAAATACTTTAATATTATTATTAAATTGTTATATCATTGCACAAATAAAGTAAAAGTTTAACGGTTACGCTCAGGTATAAACATTGCAAAATATTGGTATTTTACATTTAAAAGAAAATACCATTTAATGAATATACAGTATAATATCAAATTTATTTATTTATTTTGATAAAAAAAAAAAATGTATTTAGTAAGAATCAAAATATAATATAATGTTGGTACATAATAAGTATAATAAATAATATCAAATATAATATAAAATAAAAATATTTAGATGATTTATCTAGTTGTATGCAAACACAAAAATGTTATAACGACAATGAAATTAATAAATTGTTAAAAATAAAATAATAATTTCTATGGATGTGTAATCAGTTTTAAAAACAAATTCATTTAGTTTACATATCTAATTATTTCATAAAAAATAAATCACTGTAAACAAAAACATGAAGAATAACAGAGATCAATAATTTTCAACTACTACAAAAAACATTAAGAACATTTTTAATTTTTGGTTTCACTTTAGGGAAAATAATATATTATACTAATTTATATAAAGCAAATATACACTATTATAAATGTAAGGATAGTACATACATTACATAAAATAAATGACAGTATGTTAATAATTCAAAATAGTGCTAGAGGTTTAATAATTATAATGATGCTGTTAGCTGATTCATAGTTTATTTTATTCAAATGGTCCTCATATAATTATTTTTAAGCTATATCAACATCATTAGTTATTTTTTGTAACCTCTTGGCTTATTTCCGCCAAAGAAACTGAGTTATGTTATTTGGACCATTTTACAACCCAAGGTTGTTTATATGAATCGAGTATCTGTCCATGTCCAAACAACTGAAGTGATTTGTAATTTATTTACAATATAAAAAAATTTAATCTATTTCATATTTAATACTTATTAGGTTATTTCAATCAAATTTATAGGTCAGTATCATACCAAGCAGCTACTTGATTGTTGTCTTGAGGAGGTTCAGGTAAATCTCCTAGACGATCAAAATCAATATCATTAGCTGTTACTACGTCCATCGGACTACAGTTGGATTCTTGTTGAGAACATATTTCTAAACCTTGCATAGAGTCTATTGGTAACGTGTCATACCCTTAAAAATATAAAATCAATTGTTCATTATTTACATAGATAACACAATTAAAAACTAATCTAAAGCCAATTTATTAAAAATTATATTTCAATATCTTATACAAGAATTAACTTAAAATAAATAACTCAACTGCATTTGTTAAAAGTTTGTTAGGAGTAAGGTATTCATCGTATTTAAATTACTTAAATAACAGTTGTCTGTAAGGTATTTTATATAATTTATATGTTTGTAAATAACCAATCAATTATTATTGCCATACTAAAATGTATTATATTTTGCTTTATCTTTGGTATTTGTTTTATAGTATTTTAATGAATAGTTATTACCATTCTGTAAATACTCATTATTATGTATGTTTAATGTGCAAACATGTACATGCGCCTTCTCCTAGATAATGCATGGCTGTAATAATTTTAATTAGAAAACCAAAACGTATTACTGAAACAAAAGCAAGTTTGCTAACATCTAATCTTTTAAATTATTAGATAAATTTCAATAAAAGTTATATAAAAAGATTTGTTAAGAGTCTAAGGGTGATTTTAGCTTATTTTGTCAACCCTTATATCAGGGGTCTTTACTCCTCAACCCACCTTGTATTTTTTTGAAGCCAGCTAATGTATTTTAAGCATGTAATTAGTACATTTTTTTTTATTACAAAAGTGGCCGGCAATATCTTTTACAGATAATAGGTGGCCTGCTGCCTGAAAAGGTTCCTGTCCTATATGCTTCTATAAGTAGCTCACGCATGACTTTTGTTATGGCTCACAAAAATTAAATATTTCCTTAAATAAAAATGGTTGCTATTGGTTATAGATTATATTATTACCTACTATTATAATTATAAGACATATTATAGGATATTTTTCAATTGTTGTTATATAATAATATAATGAACAGAGGGTAACAGAAAGAAATGACAAATTAAAAAAAAAATTAAATAAGTGAAACGTATAACAAAAATGATATAGATAGTAAATAAGTTTCAAAAATATAATTATTATGGTTCTCCAACGATATCGTAAACTTTTTCTTTAATTTAGGTATTAATTATCGTAATATATTGATAATGGACATTAATTTTTAATTATAGCCTCGGCCATTAATTGTTAACTAATAACTAGTCAATTGACAATTATAGTCATAGAGACATCTGAATATCGATAAATCGAAGTATCGGATTATAGTTGGAGAAACCTAATAATTATATCAGGAAATTCTCAAGAAGAATATTTTGAAAAAAGTTATTACGTTTCAAATTAATTTACTATGAAAAATATTGATATTTAAAAAAGGTGGACAAGTGGGTACTGTGCTGCAGCACAGTAGATGTCAAACATGTCGTTGTAATAGATGTGTTATATCTGAATTCAAATGATTAATCATTGCATGAGAAAAACGATTCTGAGCAGAGACGTTGTGTCATACTTGTATAAATAATCAAATTTAATAAATAAGTACCAACTAATTCTATCAGAAAAGATGCTGATCTCGAAAATTGGAAAATTTTTACAATCCAAAATATTACTGACAAAAAAAAAACCACATCATTGTAAAATCAATACATTCTTTAGCTAAGCTTAGAATCAAAATAAAATAATATTGTTTGAACAAAAGTAATTTCATTTGTTAGACCTGTCTGTTATACCCTGTAATCTTTTCAATGGGTCATTTCATCCAAAAATTGTTTGGATAGTTACGCTTAAAAAAATGTACGGTAACTACTGACTGACTTACTCAATATCTTTATCATATGGATTGATAATAAGATTTATAAAAATGTATGTTGAATTGAGGGTTAATAGATTTCCTTATAATATCATTGTGTACAAAAAGATTTAATTAACAAGAAGATTTAATGATAGTCTAGAAATTGATCTTATCTTGTCTAGTGAGCAACCGGTACAAAGTTTTACGCCAACGACAGAGCTTGACGACACTGTCACTCAATCCCACTCATTCTAACTGTTCCCATATAATATATTGTTAATAATTTAAATCAAACATATTTAATATTTATTTTAATGAAACAAAAATTTATAAATATTAAATATTTTTAATGAGGAATTTATTTACTTTGTACTTACTGTTAATGTAGAATTGCATGCAAAACAAGCGCAGAATAATTAGTATAGTTAAGCAAATTCAACCACTAGATCTAAAACATGTGTGTACCTGACTGTTGATGGTAGTTGTTACGTCTCATTGGGCCCATTCCATTGTGAACGCTACCAAGTCCGTGACTATACAAATCGTATGCATCCTGTTTACAAAATATAAAAAAAAAATCTAACTACTGTACAAAACAATAATAAAATAAATAATATTCCATGCCAACACTGCCAAGGTGTACAAAACACCATGCATCAACTCATAAAATTATATAATATATATGCATTTTTCAGATAAAAAGCAACAATGACATTTTACTGTTTATTCGAAAACATACCTCAACAAGCGATGTATGCCTCTGGCTAATAGAAACATTTTACATTAAATAAGACTTGAAAAAAAAGAGAAGTCTTAATGATTTTAATTACCTGAAGATCAGGCCCCATTCCAAGATCATTAGGTGGCCATGTATTTTGATCTTCACGGCATAGTGAATTACTCAGCTCTGCTGATAACCGTTTTTTATAATCATTTGGCTTATCTTCTGACATTCGGAATAAAACTGCTGCTGCATATGTTGCTTTAAACAAAATTATATAAAACATGATGAATTTTTTTTTGCGTTATTTCATAAACAAAAATAATTTACACCTACCAACTCCTTCGTTACGGGAATGTAATAGTTCAGTTAGTGGCGCTGTCGCACCTTCTGCTTCAATCATATCTGCCCCATCTTTATCAATAGCTAACTCGCATAGTGCACCAGCAGCCACTCGTTGAACATTTTCAATATCATTAAATAACAATTGAACTAATACTGCAATCAGTCCTTGTTGGGAGCGCATAAGCACTCGATTGTGTGATTCTCTTGCAAGAATATGCAATGCACCAGTAGTGCCTTCAACAATTTCTTCCATGCGCACTCCATCAGCATATACACCACCTGATTGTGATCTGCCAGATCCTGCTACACTACTATTTGTAGATGTCTATACAGTCAAATTGAAAATTGTATATATAAATATTAATTTTACGGATCAAATGGAAAATTGATAATATATTAATATGCATACAGTAATATATTACATACCCTTTGAATATCTTGAAACGCTCTCATCAATAAACGTATTAAATGGTGAATTGCGCCGTGTTCTCTTAGTGGCACATGATTTCCTTGACACTGAGCTACATTTCGAATTAGTCCAATAGCAGCTTTGACAAGTGGCCAACGGGAAGGAGGTTGTAATAACTTTACTATAACTTGAATACCTAGATTGTGGCGTATAGCATTTTGAGCACTATCTGATTCAACATGTCTAGATGTCAAATGTCTCAAAGCACACACCTGAAATGAAATATATATTTTTTAATTCAAACTATTTAATACAATTCCATCTAAACAATTATATTTACAGCTGGTTCAGTTATTTCTTCACGATCTCCAGCACTCATAATTGTGTGTACTAATGCGTCAACACCACCCACTTGAACCACAGTAACTTTATTCCGTTGATTATTACAGGTCAAATTTGATAAGATTCCAGCAGCACAGGTAACTACATTAACATCTGCATGATTTAAAGCAATTACTAACGATTGCAATAACTGTTCTAACCCATCAACCTTAAAAATAAAAATTATTTATTAGCAAACTTATTAATATAATAAAATAATCTATATTAATGAAAATGTGTGTGTGTTTGTTTGTATATTTGTAAGCAATCCACAGCCTAGACTATCACACTCATGGCTTTGAAATTTAGTACATTTCATACCTGAGAATATGCACCACGGAGCCAATTTTTTATATTTTGTAATATAAAGAGAGGCTCACCAGGGATTTGTGGGTTCTTAAACGAATATTATTTTGTTTATATACGATTGCTCACAGAAAATGTAATAGTTATTATAATCGGATATCATTTTAGACCTGTATTTTATATTTGGTCAAAACAACCCAAATTACTGTGTTAAAAATATTTGTAGCTTACATTTAACGGAGTTAAAAGACAGAGTAAATCCACTGCCATTATTTAATTTATCAAGGTCAAAGCTGTGCAAGATCAGCTATAATTAATTAATATTATCTACATTATAAAACCATAGACTTAAAACAGATGAAACTTATGAAAATTCAATTTTTGTCCGATTTCATAAAATGTTTGTCAATATAGATTCAGTAAGAAAATATTTATTTTAATAGGATATGATTTTCAACCTGTAATTTATATTTTGTCAAAACAAACCAAATCACAGGCAGTTCTGTGTGCAAGATCAGTTAGTATATGATATAAATTATAATTCCAACATAAATATATTTGAATATAAAATACCTTAGTTCCAGCGTCAGACAAGTTACGCAAGGTCCATAAAGCATTTTGTACCAAACGTTGACTGCCATGTTGTAAATGCATTGCAAGAGCTTGCATGCCACCAGCTTCCACAATTGCCGGTTTGTTACTTGAACACACAGACAAAACTGAAAAGAACATTTATTTATTTAATTTAAGACGATAAATATTAAATAATAAAATGAAATACCTTTCAAAACTCTAGACGTTGTCCACAAAAGCTTTTCGTAATCATATGAACGCATAATACGTACAAGTTCAATAGGTCCTTGAGAGGCAAGAATAATTAACTTACTTTCTTGATTACCGTATGCTAATATTTGTAAGCAATCAGTTATGATTGTCAAAAATTTAACATTGTTACGTTGCAAAAGCGCTACCATTTTTTGTAGACCTCCAGCAAGACGAACTGCCATTTTTGAACCCTCTTGGTGTAGCAATAAATTATGTAAAGTTGTTATAGCATAATATAATATAGACTCAACAGGAGAACTAAAAAATATATGTATATTATTAAATAAGTTAAATTAAAAATGAATTACTAATTAGTAATTACCTAAGTAGTTTAACCAAAGCCGGTATTCCTCCACTTTTAAATATAGCTAAAAGTCCTTGTCGATGATGTGATAAATTGTGTAGAGTACCAACTGCACCTTTAGTCATTTCTAAATCATTACTATTTGACAATGCTTTGACTAATGCAGCAACCATCTAGACATCATTCAATCATTAAAAAAATTTTCTATTAACTTTGAATAAAACAAATTGAATTTACTTGAGGACTATTCATGATTGCATGCCGTGATGCTTCTTTTTTCGATAATTGGTGAACCATCATGGCTGCTTGTGATACAACAACTTGGTCTTCATCGTTCAATAACTTTATGAGTTCTGGGATAGCTCTAGTCGCTAAATCAGCATCATCCTAAAATATAAAAATGTATATTAAAATACTAAATGCCACCTATAATTTAGAATTTAGTATTATAAAAAAGTTTTTACTTAGTATTTACCTGATAATTAATCAAATTAACTACGGCATGTTTGAGCATTTGACTTGGCTCAGCTAACCGTTGGACAGCTGTCAACTGTCCTTGATTGAATTGTGTAGAAGGAATCTCAATTCCTTCTTCCAGCGTTTCTGGAAACATTGCTGCTCTTACTCTTTGAGTACGCGACTGACTCAGTTGTTGATTCATTTCTGGAATTACATTTTAGTTTAATTATCGATGTGTAGGTATCTAAATATAATAATTATGCTATTTACCATCAACTTGATCTTGAGTAAACCCGTGTGAAAATCCTTGATTGAGTTCATAGATCAACTGGTCACGTTCTAAATCATCTTCTTTGTCAGTGATAGAATGCGCTTGGGTGGTTCCGCCAGAGTGGATACCGGACTCTGGCAAGTACTGGCCACCTTGTTGCCACATCATGGCTGTATCCTTTGAATAACCCGTGTTACTCGGCACTTTACAAAATGTAACATATGGAATTAAATTAGGATTTATACCTTATGGGCAGATGATAGAAGGTTGTTTAGCAATATTATACTTACACACTCGTGATTGATACATTCTGTGTTTGGGCTACAACAAAAAAATAAATAAAAGAGAATACTGGTTAATAATATGACACTGGTAAGGTTTGCTTGGGTCTAAATTACATCATTTTTTTCTAATATAATAATGGTAATATGGTATTCCTAAAGATTGTATGACTCATAGTACATGTTTAGTCATGCATTGTTTACCGAGTATTTGACACGATTTGTACAGCAGTCACCTACCTACGTGATTCAACTGGACACCATCAAACATTTATCTCATAAAAAGTATTAATGGACATCAATAGTCGTACAAAACTTGGGTTCCTCTCGGGGGGCGTAAGGGACGGGAAGCAAGGACGAGCAAGGCTCGATCATCAATCGTGAACGGACGGGATTAATGTTGAGAGAAGTATCGAGGACACTTACCTTTGAACGATGTCCCGATGAACCGCAGCTATACAATCGTCCGACGGAATAGATGAGAAGTGGTTTTAGAAAATGAAAACACTCAACGCGCAAACATTACTGTCTCGCGGAGATCGGTAATGTTACCACTGCCGTGGATCGCGTCCGTCACCGTCGACAGATTATTTTACAACAATTCTTTCACTCGGACCCGTGAGTCACGTCGGTTGGCGAGGGCAGTCGAAATATGGCCGAGTAGGCGTACAATCACAAACGACGACGACAACAACAATAATAATAATAATAACAGGAAAGAAACGGACGAAAAAAAGGCGACGACGACGATCACTCGAGAAGAGCGGTGGGGGCGGCGAACGCGAGCACTCCGAACGGGATTATGCTCTCACATTAGCACTGCGAGTCGGCGGCGGCGGCGGTGGTGGTGGTGTCGTACAACTATTTACTACGAAAATACTACGGCACTCGTCTGCGGCGGTGGACGGGTCGATACGAATATTTTCACGGATTGCCGTCAGTGTGACCGCCGACGCAATATTATCGGGCACGAAAACCGGTGGAAGAGTTATTGTTATTGCCGTTGTGTGCCTCGTACAATAGAATATTGTATCACACAATAGTCGGAATTTGTGTATGATTGTATCGTTGTGTGTGTATCCCACCATCATCCTACAATTACTGGTGTGTACCATAATATTGAAGTGTGTGTGGTGTGTACCGTAGACGGTGTATACAGTGCACTTCGTATTACGCGGTCCAGACGTGGAGTGTGCACTATATATATATATATATATAGCTGTCAGTGACAAGTGTACTACCGTCAGGCTGCCACGGCCCGCGGAGGATCCTTCTTACACCCCCCCGGTGAATAGTCGTGCTGCTCAGTACACACCCGCGGGACAGGACGAACGGGAATACCTCCCCAACGCCATTTTGTAGCGCTTAAACTCCTCAATCGGTACGTTTGTTCGGCAGTCGTTCGTACAAAAACGATAGACGATCCGGGGACCATTCCATTCGACGACAGAAGTGAGAGAAACGTTTCAAAAAAAACAACATAAATACCGAAGACCCCGCCGATAACGACGAGCACTTCGTCGGTATCAGTGTCTTTCGCGGCCCCCCTGTCGAGTGCAACGTCCGAAAAAACTTCGTCAGCGAGTGAGTTTCAATAAATCTATAATTGTGCTGTGACTTGTGAGTACCTATACGATCGAAGTACCCGCCGACAACCATGAGCTACCAACAATCTAGAGGAAGTACGTATTTTTCACGATGACGAACCTACCTTTTGGTTATTGTTTTTTCGATTTTTCATAATTCATCGTAGACCTTACACCGAGTATATAAGGTCTATGTATACTCATCCATGTCTAATATCTATGTGTACTCGTAATAGTGTCCGGTAACATGGTGAACCCGATCAACGAGACCATGGACATCAAAGATCCGTCGCTGGTATGGCAGCAGAGCGGCCAGTATTTACCAGACTCTGGCATACAATCCGGAGGTAGCACCCAGACGCATTCTATAACTACCAAAGAAGATGATATGGAGAGGGACCGACTTTTGTTTGATCTCGATCAAGGGTTCCCGCAATCTTTTCCACATGACCAAGTCGAAGGTATGTCGATTAAATCGTTGTTGTAGTCTAACAGTAGATATTTCATATTTTGAAATGTTTTCAGGCATGAATCAACATTTAGGCCAAACGTGTGGTGAAAATTTAGAAGATGAAGTGGAAATGCCCACCCAATTCAATGTCAACAGTGCTGCGAATGTACAAAATATGACTGGACCAAGTCAAATGTTGAAATATGCCGTTGTAAATTTGATCAACTACCAAGATAATGCCGAACTTGCCACCTGGGCTATTCCAGAATTAATAAAGCTGTTGAATGATGAAGATCAAGTTGTTGTATCACAAGCTGCCGTCATGGTTTATCAACTATCTAACAGAGAAGCTGCGTTGCATGCAATTATAAACAGCCCACAAGTATACATCTATTTTCCTTTAAAACTATTTCAGAATTATTTGTTTTAAAGTAAAACAACTTAAAATTAAATTAAATCTTATAGATGATTGGTACATTAGTTAAATCTATATCAAACAGCAATGATTTGGACACCACAATTGGAGCAGTTGGAACATTACGAAATTTGTCTAATCACCGTCAGGGCTTGTTAGCAATTTTCAAGAGTGGAGGAATACCAGCTTTGGTAAAATTAATGAGGTGAGTTAACATTGTCTTATATAAATCTTGACCAATAACAAAAACAGTAGCAATATAGAGGAAAAAGTGGCACTAATATCCCTAGACTCCCCCCCCCCATTTTTATTTCATCTATATGGTAAAAAATAAATGTTAAAAAATTAAAAACCTTACAACTTCCTTAAAATGATAATTCAATATAATAACAAATCCAATTGTACACATTTTTTTTTCGTATGAGTAGTTAATAATTCTATTATTAAAAATGGCATTAATTAAATCATCAACCCATGAGAACAAATTACAATATAAAACAATAAAAATTAAAAAACACGTACGATGTACCTACCACAAAAGCGTGACATGCAACGGCGACGTCAATTATAAATATTGAGGACTGAGGTAATTACAAACGGCGAGACGTGTCTCATAGTGTAAATAGTAAACCCCACTCACATTGGCGCCCATGTTTGCAAGACCCCATATTTGGAATGACCCGTATCGCCAGTTCATACGCACGGCCGTATTTCGCACTTCTAATCAATTTTAAGAATTCTATAACTGTACACCTCTAAATGCAACGAAAAACCGAATTTAACAAATGCTGAAATATACATCATATATTTTATAATATAAAATAAAATTCACATTTTTAAATATTTTATAAAACAAAATAATTATTATTTATTTGTCCCGTGTTCTAATTTCTAAGTGGGGAGACCTATGACGCTTCGCCACTGAACAAATATACTTTATTATATATTATGTATATAGTATATACATATATGACATGTTCGTGGTTTTATTTTATTTTAAATCTGTTTTAATAGCTCTCCTGTTGTAACCATTTTACGAGATGCTGTGATAACTATTCATAATTTATTATTGCATCAAGATGGTTCTAAAATGGCTGTTCGTGTAGCTGGTGGCTTACAAAAAATGATTTCTTTATTGACATTCAAGTCGAATAGCCATTCGATTACCGTTAAGTTTTTAACTATCATCACCGATTGTCTGCATATTTTGGCTTGTGGAAATCAAGAAAGCAAATTGATAATACTAGCTGCACAAGGACATGTGGAACTTGTGCGTATTATGCGTTCATATAATTATGAGAAATTATTATGGCTCACTTGTCGTGTTCTTAAAGGTATAGAATAGTTATAACTTATAATTACCTACATTATTGTGTTCGTTCTATATTTAATTGGTTTATATATTTTTAGTTCTTTCTGTGTGCTCACGAAACAAGCCAGCTATTGTGGAAGCCGGTGGAATGCAAGCTTTGGCAATGCATCTTCAACATGACAGTCAGCAATTAGTATATAATGTTTTATGGACTTTGAGAAACTTATCAGATGCAGGAACAAAGGTAATATTAACAATATTAAATATATTGATTAATTGTGGAAATGTTAATATAAATTTTAATGTCATAATATTATGAATGTTTAAATTTTTGATACTCTTAATGGATTCAAACTATTATCTTCTAACTGACAACTTTCTTTCATACATTAATTACTGTTTAATTTTGCTAGTCTCTAATACACATAATTAACAAACAATACAATACATTTTCATTGTATTAAAATAATTTTTGGTACTTTTCTGTTATCTCGACTACCTCGCCGATGCCAATTTAGATAAAATCGATAATAAATCATAAACATGGATATAAATATAAAAATAACTCACTGATACAGTTCATAGTTTAATTGTACATAGACCTTTTTTATCAAAATTACTTTTTATGATCATTTGAATATATAATTTTTACGATATTGTATATTAATTAGTAATTAATTAAATTCAACAAAACCTTAAAGCCCTAAGCAGTCACCCACCACCTACAAAATGTATGGGGTATTCATCCCAGTGTTCGGCGCCACTGATGCTAGGCATAGTCTAAACACACCATCTCCGCTCATTGAATTCAAATATAACATATCCTCATTACAATGAGATACTCGGCAACTACTGTTCAGCAGAACGGTACCCACTTGTCTACCTTTTATTTTTATATATGTACATAAAATACTATATTTTAATATCTTGAGAATTTTGAATTTGACGTTTTGTGATAATTTTGATGATTTTATGTTTTACCTATATTATAACTCTCCACTACTGTGATAATTTATGGGATAACTGATAATAAACGTTTTACTAGTATACATTATTATATAAATGGCAATTCATGTGTATTATGTATTAAAATATTGAACTATCGAGATAATAGGTACTATAGTAGTTGTGGTAGTCATAGAGCGGTAGTAGGGATAACAGAAAAGTACCTAATTTTCTTTAATTCATGAAAAAATTATATACTTTAGAGATATAATTAGATTATGAATGTATAATAATTTTTCGATATTTACTCTAAAAGTCATAAACTATAATTCTTTCAAAACTTTAGGTTGATGGATTAGAACAACTATTGCAATCGCTAGTTGCAGCATTGGGTCACACAAATATTAATATTGTAACTTGTGCTGCTGGAATATTATCGAATTTGACATGTAATAACCAGAGAAATAAGTTGACCGTATGCCAGTTTGGAGGTGTTGAAGCTCTTGTACGTGCAATCATGAACGCTGGAGACAATGAGGAGATAACTAAACCTGCTGTAACATTTCATTCAAATATTTTTACAACTTGAATTATTTATAAATTATAAATTTTTTCTTTTAGGTTTGTGCTTTAAGACATATAACATCAGGACATGCTGAAGTTGAAAGTGCTCAAAATGCAGTTTGTCGATCAGGTGGTGCTCAAGTTGTGGCCAAGCTATTACAACCATCATCTCATTGGCCTCTTATTAAAGCTGTAATTGGTTTGATAAAAAATATAGCACAGTGTAAAGCAACTCATGGGTTACTTCGTGAACATAATGCCATACACAATTTAGTAGGACTTTCAATGCGTGCTTTCCAAGATCTTCAGAATGTAATTATTTTTATAAAATTTATCAAAATGATTTATAACGTAATATTTATGACTTAATCTATTTCAGCATTCGAATACTAGTGTAAAACCAGAAGGAGTCCGAATGGAAGAGGTTATCGAATGTGTTATTGGAACGTTACACATATTAGCTAAAGAATCACAAAGTCGATCGATAATGCGTTCTCAGCAAGGATTTATGGCTATATTAATACAGTTACTATTTAACAACTTTGAAAATATACAACGTTTAGCTGCTGACACATTAAACGAGTTAGCTGCGGATAAAGAAGGTGCTGATATGATAGAAGCTGAAGGAGGAACTGCCTCGCTTAGTGAATTATTACATTGTGGAAATGAAGCTCTTGGTTAGTATTTTTCTTGTTTTCTAATTTAAAATAAAATATAAAATCGATTTAATAATTTGTATATTTTTCTAGCTACATGTGCAGCTGCTATTTTATCTAGGGTTTCTGAACATAAATTACAAAAATGTCTGTCTATGGAACTCAGTAACTCATTATTTAGCGAAGATCAAAATTTATGGCCATCTGGTGATCTTGGTATAGCACCAGATCTTCAGGTATATATTAATAGGTTTAACTTTTTATTAGTGTGCAGATATTTGATAAAACATTAGAGCGTGAGATATTCATCTTCATAATATTTATCTATGAACATTCTGTAGGTAAGTCCAGTAATTAAATTAGATATGTGTGTTACAATTTGATCCACAAGCTAGTTGTATTACACTACAAAAATGTAATTCCTGCACATAGTTCAATATACTCTTATCAAGACATCCATGTTTAGTTTGACACCAAATTTTGTATTTCTATTACAGTATTATTAGTACCCAAGTATTATTGTATGAAGTTGTTTTTATGTTTTTTAGTTAGGCATTATAAATATTAGATAATTTGCACACTTGTACATTGTTTGAGCTTTTGTGTGTTTTTCAACCAACAGGACATGATAGGTGCGAACGAGTATGATATGTATGGTCAAGGATTGAGCACTGTCTACAGTGGTGTAGGGTCACCCAAACACAGTGCTTCAGGTACACTTTAAATATAAAAACCACTGCTTGAATGTATTTTTATAATAGATAACATAGTATTGCTTTAGCTCACTTTTTTTTTTTATTTCGTCTCATTGCTTGGGGATTTGGTAAGTTATAGTACCAAGTACCAACTAAAATGACTAATATTATATATTTTGTAAGTATTGAATTATGATAATTAGGGATGGTTTGATCTTAAGTATTCACAAACTCAAAATTTTTAATGGTTATATTATAACAAATTTCAAAGTACAATAATAGTACAGTTTACACTTGACAAAATACTGTCATACTTCAAACATTTCAAACTTGATAATGCTTGATCTGTTTGATCAGTGAATTTGAACTTACATTTTTCTCGAATTACTTGCTTTGGTGTGTGAAAGACTAAAAACCTCAAATACCCATCCCTAATTATAATGTATAATAATATAACTTGTAGATTACATGTGAACTTTAAAAGACTTGAGATAATGAGATCAACTAAATAATATATTCCAAACACTTAAAATTGTATATATTTTTTTAATTTGAGTCTTATATCAAAGTAAAAAAAATGAGTAGGTATCTAACTTATGTTAGGTCTTAACTTTTCCTAGTTTTCTTTGAAACTAATATACAGAAGTTATATCACTAAAAAATGTATTTTTTGGGACTTAAATTAAATCATTGAGTATAATATTATATTGCATTTCAATATAAACTATCTATGCACTAAAAATAGGAAAGACGCTAAATATATTAAATTTAACAAAAACATTTAAATTTATTTTCATTTTTATTCTATGAATTGCCTTTTTATTTTTTATTTATGTCTAGTATAATGGCATGTATTATACGGTAGATAAAAGACGCTCACTGCTCAGGAATAAGGTACTGGCTGTTAATGTACTAAAAAAAATAATTAATTTAATAATATAAGGGTATATCCAAAAGTTTTAATTTTATTTATTTTTAACATTACCAATGAGCAAATATTTAAAAAGTTCAACAAAATTAGTTTGACTTCATTCATATATGATAATAAACCTAAAAATAATACTCAAAATTCAAAATAAGCAAAATGTTACAGAACCCGCAAATATGCAAATATTTTGTATAATACATCTAGGAAGTATGATATTTAATAATCAATATTCAATTGGTAATAGGAGATTAATCATTACTAACACAATCTTTTAATACCTACTGTGCTTTCAACTCACTTAAATTATCTATATTCCAATAAATTCTTTAAAGGACACCACACGGACATTTGTTGTCTCTGTCCTATAAATGCGTAACATAGCTAATTTGCGCTCACCGGATAACGTTTTGCTTCGTTAGTTTAACAATTAGAGTGAATAAACCTTTTATGAAACTTGATGGTAAGAACATTATCTGTGTCCGTATGTTGATTTTTTAAGATAGTTCAATTTATTGTATAATATAGCATACATTTAAAAGGCTCATAACTCACTTAAAAACTGTATATAGTAATATAGTAATAGTATAAAAGAATCATGCGAACACAGATAATGTTCTTACCATCAAGATTCATAATAGAATGATTCACTCTATTTTAACTACGGAGCTAACATTATCTGGGCATCCTCTTAAGCTTTATGTTTCTCCATCCATCAAAACAATCATATCATTTTTGCATAGATCATAAAATATTAAGTATATATAATAACTAAAATATTTAAAAAATTATTTTTATTAACATTAACTTCAATATTACTTTACTAACAGTTGAAATGATTATAATATTTTTTTATGGATTATCATAATACTGTATATTAATGTAATATTTCACATGTTTTTCAGGGTATGACGCGCTACCCTTAGATTCAATGGAAGGATTAGAAATTTGTCCTCAACAAGATTCCAGTTATGGCTCAATGGATGTCGATTTTGTTATTCAAAATGATATGACTTCTTTGCCACTCTAACGATGAGATGAACAATGGCATGTATTTGAAATTGATTTTCAAAGTGTATACGTTTATTTTAAATTATTTGGATTACTGATTTATGTTATAAATTTAGTTTTTATATATGCCATAAGTTAAGTATAAATATCATTGAATATGAAAATGTACTAACAGATGGATATAATTGAATATTTTAAGTTTAAATCAATTATTGACTGTTTAATATTTAATAGCTAAATCCCATTAATAGTAAGACAGAAAAATAAGTATAACGTAAAATGAACTTCTTATATTAGTGTTTTATTTATCATTGAGACTTTTTGAAATAATTTTTTTATTATGTGTACTGTGTAGTATGTAATTTTACATTATTATTAAATTTGAACGTTTAATGCTTCAATTGTTGCAGTTTATTTTATGTTTATTAATTTGTTTAGTTCATGTATTGACCAATTATATCCCTAACTTCTACAAATGATTTTTGGAAAATACTATCATTGTATTTAATTTAGTAATAATTGTGACTTAGTATTATGGATTTCTAAAAACTAATATGGACAAACGTTTCTTTATTTATATTGTCTATAAAGATTAAATAATATAATATAATTCCAAAAGCAAATGAAAACTATTCAAATGTTGACAATCAATTTACATAGAAAATCATAGAGTAACCTCAGGCATCAACTCAGGTTTGGTCTGACCACAATCCTTGATTAAATTTGATACTGTACAAGATTTTCTGTACATTGTTGTCTTCACAAAACCCAAGCTAGATAGTTGGAACAATAAAGACATTATGTCATTTTGAATAGCTCAGCACTTTAGTCACCCCCATTAACATCACCATGCACAGAAGTCTACTGCGTTAGGTTACTCTTATATGAGGCAGACCGATAAAGGTATAAAATATGTATTTACTATTTTGTGTTCCTATATGTGACACTGGTAGAGCAATATAAATACTATTATAGGTAATAACTTTAATTTAAATATATTCATCAAACAAATAAAATGTATTTAACTACCTATGTAATCATTTAGTTAATACTTGTTAAAAAATAATTTACATGTTCACAAGTTGGCTGTCATATTCGATAGTCAACTATCAACTTAAGTTGAAGTCAACTTTGATATTTTTAGGTAAGATTAGCCCATATCAGATACGGGATTTTTTTTTTTGTGTATATAATATACATTGAGTCAAGAAGATATATTATGAATTATGACATATCATAGATATTTAAGTAATACATTTTTTTTAAATATATATTTATAATTCAAATAATTAACAAACGCTAAGCATATAATCTTTTTCTCAAAATAAATATATAATTTCAATAAATTAAAAACTAAATAAAAATTATATCACAGAAAAAAATATTTAGTATATTAGGTTTTAGTTACACACAGTTTCATGAATTTATAAGCTAAACTAGACATAATACTATTCTAATACAGGGTCATAAGTGTTAGTCAACTCGGTCGTTAATTGATATAACTCATCAAAAAATACATCTTTTTGGTGTAATTGTTTGTAATGAGTTTGTAATGTGTAAAATGATTGATATAATTCCTTATTCCCTTGTAATTTAACTTTGCATAATTTTTGCATTGCTAATAAAGATTTTCCAGACGCTTCCACCATATCATGGTTTTCTTCATCAAGTGGTATTTGGTTAGATAGTATAACAAACTCATTGCCTAAAATGTTGCACCTTTTAAAATTATTAAAATGTGAATATTCAATAAAATCTAACAAGAATGTAGTTTTTTTAACATACCACCCGTTTTTAACAAGTATATCTTTTAAGTGCAAATCATCATACTGACGAACTCTTTCGGCAGCCTCAGTGCTTAACTTCTTAATAGTTTCTTCTTTGAATGTTAGTTTGGCATCTTCGATTTCTATGGTTAAGTCTTCTAAAAGTTGAGTAACTTTTAACTAACATAAGAAAATAAAATATACTTGTTTCAAAAAATATGAATGGTTAATTAGTACTGTCAATAATAAAATAAAATAATTGTCACCTTAAGTTTAGTATTTAATTCGGTTGTAGGCCTTTTAAATACAGACATGAAAGTTTGAATACCATTATTATCTATTAATTGTTTTTGAGCTAAGGGAAATCGTCTAGTAATCGATGATAAAGCAAAGATACAATTTTTTTGAACCTGGGTAAAAATATAATAGGCATTATGATTGATAAAATAAATAGTTATTCAAACAGTTCAATATAATTTTATGTACTTACAGAAAACAAATATTCATCATCAATATATTTTAATAAAAGTGGTATAACATTGCTTTCTAAAGAGGCAATTTGAACCTTTTGATTATTAGAAGCAGCAGAACCAAGGAGCATCGCTCCTTGTGCTTTCATTAAACTTGAATTACTATTAATACAAGGAATTATAATTAATTGTATCCTGAAAAAAAAGATAATTATGAATCATTTAATTTACAAATTAAAGAAGGTTAATAAACATATTGTCCAATTTATAATATAGTGCTTGTAAGATTTAACTACAACACTAAAATAAGGTAACACATACCCTTTATTTTTTACAAAAACCTCTGCTGTATCAACTTGATGTAAGAGGTATTCAAGATCAGTTAAAATATTCTGAAGATTTTTGTCACTATCTTCGTATAATTTTAGTTGTTCCTGAAATTTTTTAGAAAGTTCATCCATGATATCCATATCACTTTTTATAGTCATATTTAAATCTTTAAGATCGTCTTTAAGCTCTTCATATGATCTAAATTTGTGTGAATTATCTGGTAGACTTCTCTCTGTATCTTTCTGTAAATACATTTAACAAATTTTAATTAATAAATAGATAATTATGATTTATTTTTAGATCAACACAAAAATTACTAACAATATTCTCTGGTTTACTATTGTCTGTAATAGCCAAACTATTTGTACTGTTTTTTTTATTGTCCTCCATTAATTTAACTTTTTTCTCACCAGTCTGAAGATCAATTTGTATATGAAGTCCGGGAGGGATAAGTTGATCTGTAGAAAAATATAAATTTTGTTACTAATTTTCATAGTTTTGAATGAACATAAATTACATTTGCAAAATGTCGACAAGAGGAAAATTACTACATTAGCCTAGGATTACCTACAACAAATGAGTCAATTGCTCAGATTAAAAGCATTTATGCCGTACCTAATATATAGTATTTAACTAGGTTTTCCATAATTCAGAGCTCAACCAGCACAAAGAAAAAATCAGAAAATATGATAAAAATACAAAATACTATTTCGATACTACAATTTTGATGAAAATAATATGCAGATATTTGCCGGGGCATCATGAGACACATAGAGAAATTTCTAATCCAACCCAATATTTACCAAACACATTTAAGGAATATTAACATATTGAATTAGTCTAAATTCATAGGATTGCAGTTGCTAAATAATACAAAATTTAATTGTATACCTTCACCGATTATTTGCCATTCATTTGTTGGCACAAATTCTTTAGGCTTATTGAAAGTCGTAACATTATTCGAAGATTCTGGCACTGTTTCAACGACCATTTCTTCGGGCTGAGGTAATACTCGGTCCCAATGATAAAACACCGTGTCCAGATACAAAAATGCGCCCAGCGACGCGGCTACAAGAATAATCAAGAATAACCTGACTAGAGACATTTCCAACATTTTCTTCGAGGTTATTTTACGTTAACTGGACGTGCAGTAGATGAGTGAAATTTATCGAGAGTAGACGTGTTACGCGGAGGTTGAATTTATGTGTTCAACAAAACCAAAATAAACTGCCTGTGCAAATATTGAAACAAAATCGCCAAAATATCAACACTCTAGAGTGGGAATGCTGACGGTGTTTTCATAAAAAAAAAAAAGTTTAAATATGGTAAATAACGTTCAACTGTAAAAGTGATGTACAACTGTTGTTATTAATATTTATTTTTTAGTTGTTATTTACTCGATCGCGAAAACCAAAATCCGAACCGTGTGCAGATAACGCGGCAATTACAGCATCCAATGAGAAACGAACAGATAAGGCGAATACCGACGTACGACGGGCTTGCCACATGGTTCGGTCTGAACTCTTTTTTCCTCCCACAGCCGCGGCAACACTGACCCGGCGTGGCGTCCGTAGGTAGCGCCACATAGGTCGGGCGGTGTATGGACATACAACGGATTTTGTTTACCGGCAACGACGACGACGGCTACGACGACGAAAACCGCTGTCGGCCATTACTGTTGCAGTTGTCGTACCGTACACACTGTGCGCAATTGTCGATTTCAACAGTACTCTTTTTTTTTTTTACCAACACCGCGTTTTTACTGCAAACGCGTCGCCACTCAAAACATTTTCACGTCGATAAACAGTCGAAACGTCAGAATGACTGAAGACTACTTTTGGGGTAAGTATGACGACCGCGCGAACACTGCGTTTGTCGACGTTTTTAATATGGTCGCGCGCGCTCCACACGTTGCCGATTTTTTTCACGATTCACTTCCCCCCGTCCACACCGATTTTTTGCGTTTTGCGCGGTTTCTTTCCTCGCGTGGTTGACACGTTTTCCGTCGAATTTTTTCGACAGCCGTCCGCGGCACGCGATTTTCTTTTTTCCCTTCGAGTGGCCCCCGGCAAACCGAAACCTGAAAGTCACATGGTCCGCTCTTTGTGTGCGACGACGTTTTCCCGGCGAAAAAATTGTTCGTTATTGTTCTCGTCGACGCGGCTGTCATCGTTTGGCGACAACTTCATTTGTTTTATTTTTTACCGCCTCGTGCGCGTCCGTTACGATCTATTTCGGATTTTCCACGGCGGACGGGACGCGTGTCGTCGGTTATTAAATTTTTCTACGATTGGGCGCGTGCCCGACCGAACGTTATTCTTTTTCGTCTGTCACACGATTTTTTTTTTTTATTGCACGTCATCGCGCGCCTCGTGTGTCCGTCGCACATTGCGTCGTTACGTTTGACATAATATGAGAGGGCACGATGACGACGTCCGTTTCAAGGCGAAAGACCGGCGACCTCCGAAGTTTCATTTCCTATCCCGCGATCTTCCGGTTTTTAATTTTGGCTACGCGATATGACCGCCGACCGTTATATTACCGCCATAAGTAACGACGACTTGCTTATTTTGCTCCACGCGGTGTCGACATTATTCCGGCGCGGGATAATGAAGGATAATTTTAAACCGGTTTGGCCTGGTGAACTTCCGGACGCGTTATTAGGGATTGCCTTTAAGTGCATTCTTCTGGTGTTGTAAGTGTTAATAATATAATGTGAATACAAAATATTTATAGGAGTTACTTTGGACAAGACTAAGAGTACCGAAGTGTGGGATCCCGATGTAAAAGCCGATCCCAATGACACCACTCACGTTTTCCGGGGTGAACATACTTTGCTCGTAAAACAGGTGGGTGAAATTTATTTTTAGTTTTCCAGACAATTTGTACAAATACATTTTTTTTTTCAGGCTGTCCTTGGACCAGAAGTAGAAGACGATGAAGTTAACGTAATCGAAGTGGAAGCAATGGGTTACAAATCCGACATAAAGTTCCCCGTTGTTGTACTGAAAGGAGGTACTGGTCATAGTCAATGTGTACTTGATCTTTTGTTCCCAGATCCCCCAGTTACATTTAAACTTGTAAAAGGAAATGGTCCTATTCATTTATTGGGAAATCACTCAGTTGGTAGTAAGTATTATGAAGCAGTAAGTATTATAGATTATTTTTTCGTTTTATGCAATGATGAATCATTTTTGGGTAATTTGCGTCTGATTAACAATCTGATGAACCTTTTTTAATTTCTGAGCTAAATATTTATATACTCTATTTACCGAGAGTTGACCCACTCGCCCGACGAAAACCGGTCGCGGCTGCACATGCCACCGCTCGTTTCAACGCTGGTGGTGATCGTCGACCAATCACAGACCGCCGCTGTCTCCTACTCGGGGGTATGAATGCGCGGAGTGGGTCAACTCTCGGTAAATAGAGTATAGTTTTAGTTTATTTTATATGAATGTTATTTAAAATATAAAAAATTTACTTGGAGTAGCTGGTGAGGGTATGGGTGATGAAGAGGATGATGATGAAATTGATGAAGAATTTGAAGAAGAAGAAGAGGACGTCGAAGAAGAAAAAAATAGTGTATGTAGATTCATATTAATTTTTTTTAATGTTCATATTATTTTAACTTTTTTATTATAGGTTGATGAAAAGAAACGTAAAATAGCTGCCAATTCAAATTCAAAGGGCGGTAAAGCACCTAAGAGGCCTAAAATTGAAAGCGAAGCAGGTAATGTATTTTTGTTATTTTGTATCATAAGTTATGAGAACATAAAGAATTAATTTAATATTTACATAAGTTCATTTTGGAATAAAGTCGTTCTCTCATTATACAAGCTCACTAATCTGTGAAAAATTTGGGCCATTCTAAAGTGTTCCGTGCTGTAAAACTGAAGCCTATTACTAAGGCTCTGCTGCCTGTCACCAGGCCGTGTATCTCATGAACCATGAAAGTTCAAATTTTCTCAGATTATTTATTTCTGTATCTTCTATAGCAACAAATACTAAAATATTTAATATAATCTGTTCTCACCACCACTATACTTGTCCTAACGTGGGCCATCACTGTGAGTGAGAGAGATTCGTTTACAAAACTGCAGACCTTCATCATTTTAATACACCAAAGAGTAGCGCGCTCTTGGTAGCACGAGTTAACTATTAACTATTAATTTAAAAATATTGTATCCTGTTTTTAAATTCTAACCTTTCATCTTCAGCCTGCTAATTAACGATGTATACATGTTTAAGGAAGATCAAGTATGGATCTCACAAACTTATGTTGCTTGACCACCACTGTCCTTCCTTAATGTGAATATAATACAGATTAAAATATATGAACTATTTAATGTCTCAATGTAACCAAAAGTCAAAATAAAGGTTCCAGCTAGGTATTCATTTTTGAGAATATCTAGACCCTTTTGGAAACTTGCTGCTGGCCTCTGTTCCATTATTGTCACTTTCCTATGTTATTTTTTTTTTGTGTTCTTGACTTAATTATTAGATAATAAGTACATTTCCTTATACTAGAGCTAATAATACAAGGTATGAAAAATATAATAGTGCTTGGAAATCTTTCCCCCCAATTATATGTAATGATAGATTATATTATTTAAACATTTTACAAGTGTGCTATTACTAATAATTTTTTTTTTCCAGACTAATTAAACTCAACATCAGGCTTAATGTTCCTGGATGTATAAATTCCAATGAAACAAGAGACACTGTCCTCTGGTGTTAATTTATTTAACAATTAAGGTTTTTTAATTTCAAATTGTTTTTTTTTTTTTTTTAGTCTGACCTTCTGTATGTAATAATTAGCCTTTAAACTTATATTAAGGATATCCTATCTGTTATCCCAAAATAGAAACATCCAGAATAATGTTGAAGTTACTAAAAATTATATATTCATAATATCTGATGTATTTTTTTATTATTATTTAAGCTCCCTCCACTTATACAATATAAATACAATGTCTTGTTTTAAATTCAAATTTTTTACCACATTTACATTAATTTAATTTTTTTTTTAAATAAAGTTACATATCCTACAACTGGTTTAATGTGTAGCATGTTATATATGGTGAATCATATGCAGTAGTACAAAATTTTGATCCATTTCTAGTAATGAATTGGCATCCCACAAACATGGTATCTTCTTTCATGTAGCAATATACTAATGTAACAGTCTGAAATGGTAAAATAGTAGCTAACCTAGGTAATTTGCAGGATATGTTTGTGTTCATTATTATTACTGTAGCACTGATCTTCCAAACTCTAATCCATGAGTCTTCGGATACACTCAACAATAAATCTGCATCTTTAGCTGCTGACATTGATGTAACGCATCTAGCGTGTGCTGATATCTGGACTATCATTGGTAGCTGATCTTCTGCATCTCCATTTATAAGTTTGACAGTTGGGTCAAACATGCGAATTGTTCCACATCCATAACCTACAGCCATTAGTCCACCTCTAGTCATTTCTGTTGTAGTACACGGATGTCTAAAAGGCAGACTGTAAGTGTCAATGTCTCGTACACGTATACTTCAGATGTGTTTTTTGTGAAATATATAATGGCAAAATGTGCACAGTGCTATCATATTCTTTGTGTTATACAAACCCCCCAAACATTTTTGATCGTGCAATGATCATGAGTTCTCCACAATCAATTTGTGAAAGTACTGTACAACCGGACTCGTCGCAAGACACCAAATTGTGTTTGTAAGACGACATATCTGTGATAGGAGCCCCGTGGAACAGCTTACGGTCTAAAAACACCACTTGTCCGTCTTCATCTGGTCCGAACACTCTGATTGATCCGTTACTGTTCCCTGTGAATTTAATTTAGTGTTACAACCTTACAAAAACTGAATTTACGTACCGACACACAGGTAAGTGCACTCGAATGCAGCTATCCCTTTTGCGTATTTCTCCTTCATGTTTTTGTCCTCGCAGTTGTGTGTGTAAATGCGTTGGAACTGTTTGTCACAATCATAAATGATCAATCCTTCTGAACAAGTGACTACTAGGCAATTTATGTAGCCAAGTGTACACCAGAGTATCTAAAGGTAAGAAAATAACCATAATGGTAGAATACTGGTTTCAGAATTGTATGTACATAATTTGTACAAATAATTATTGACAAGTAAGTAATAAACGGTAAATTGTATGAGTTCGGAGAATTTCTTTTTATCATATAAGTGGTTGAAAAGTCTAGATAATTTTGTTTTCAGTCGACAGGTTGTATGCCTGTATCGACTAGGTCTAAAATATTTTTGTTGTCAGTTTAAGGGTGTAGTTTATTATGGAATATTGTTAGGAGAGTTTTGATGCTTGATCAGGCCAGGTCGTGATACGTATGGAGGGGGTTCAATTACTACTTGACTCGAAAGGACGTGTAATTTTGCCGGTCGATTTAAAGTCTTAAAAAATGTCTTCCCGTATCCGAATGCTATTTTTATAATTGTTATTTATGGGAGGATTTTATAATCATTTTACTTGGGTGACGTCGGTCTTCGTGTCGAGACAATACTGCGGAACATCGGCTGCATTATCCACCGAATTTTCTGTACCCACCACGTGAACTGTTTGCCGGTCAATGACGGCAAAACCGTGCAACGTTTTTTGATACTTGGACACGTTCACGGCAACGTTGTTCGTGACCGCCGACACGGTACCTTTGACGAAAATTTGTTTTTCCTTTGAGTATAACATCTATCGTCCGTGGGTGCCGGGTAATGGCCTAAATATATGGTTTTAATAAGTTTAAATTAAAAATCGACCCGGTCTCTCGGCTCAAGCAACTTTATCACAATAATAATATATATTAGAGAGTGCAGTTATTACAGTCGTTGAGTCGTGCAGTAATAGCTGTGCGAGTAAACTAAATCATATACAGACTAAGCCAGGAGGGGGTTGAATAAGGGTTGGTCGTTGAATACATTAAAAAATCTTACGATCGATTAGATAACCGATCGTCTTGGTCTCGGGAATAAACTTTGTTACCAATATTTAATATAATAATGTACTATTGTGTAGTCGTAGTGTCGTACAATCGTACGAGTTTATTGATTTGTCATTCGGTATTATTCGCGGTGTTGTTCACATTATTTAACGTGTGTGAAGTTGGGTGAACAAAGGTAGGCCACTCTATAGTGATAAGAAACTATGTGTGCTCGGTTGCGTATCGGTGAATTCCAGGCGCCTATCATATACAGTCAACTCTCGATAATAATTCGAATTAAATAGTCGTTCCCTTCCCCGTAATTCGGGCAAAAACAATGCATTTAAGTACACTCGGTAATTCGAAATTACATTTTGGAAAAACTGCAGGCCACTAAGTTACTAACACGTCACGATTCGTTCAACGCTCGGCAATTCGAAGTATATTCACCAAATGTATTTTACTATTTTATCTGTATTCTTATAATCTTTTTGTTAATAATTTACTATACAATCGTGTAGAAATTTAGCTTATTATTTTCGATAACTATAGAATTATTATCGTACGAACCTTATCGTTTTAATTCTTAATCGTCTCTAATAGTAATTTAACCCGTCGAGTCGTCAATAGCTGTCAGCCGAATGTAGTTTTAGTTAAAAAAATACTGTTGAAAAAATTTAACTAAATTCAATGAAGCAGAAAACCATTACCTTCAAAAATAATAATAATCGAATTTGCATAGGTAATTAGTATAATTATTAAACAGTTTAATTTAAAATTAAAAAATAATAAATAGGTAATAACTCTAATATGTACCACCTATATATATATATATATATATATACTGAAATTATTAATATGTACAATAATAAAAAGTGGGTAAGTGGATGTCGCTCTGCTGTACAGTAGGCTACAAGTGGGTCAATGTATAATGGAGTATATTAAACTTGAATTCAATGATATAATATCATTGTATATGAAAAACGATTCTGAAAGTAGACGGTTTGTCAGTCGGGATAATTTAAATTATTATTATGTATTATAGGCTGTAAGTTAAATTGAAGTTATTATAATATAATAATTTTTTTATTCTTTTCTATAGTGATAAACAAAGAGTTTTATTATAATTTAAAATCCCATTTTTAGCGGTTTTTCGTAATTTGTAGGTAGATTTTCCCGTGGCATTAAATAACTTGAGAAAATCAAAAAATGACCTGCCTACAGCCTAAGGTATCATCTTGATCCAATTCGCTAAAAGATAAAATACTCCATGTTAAAATCGAAGTACTCCTTCTGGTAGAAATATTGTATACAGGATAAAAAAAATTGCAAAAAATAACACTATTGTAAAACCACTAGATCCCTCGCTTCGCTCAGAATCTAAAGCAACATTTTTTTTTGCCCTCCATATTTCGAACTACTCAACAATTCGAACTCTCGGTAATCCGAAGTTTTTCAACAGTCCCGTTTTATCGGTTTCAGTTCTCAATATTCAAGATATTATTCTCAAGATTCGAGTAAAGAGTTAGGTTAGGTTAGGTTTAGGTATTTAATATTATCAATGAAGGCATATTAGTAAAGGTAACAATTATAATTTATAAGACAACTTACTCTGAATTCTGAACACCTATACAAAGTCTATAAACACTTATATAAGTCCAAATTGCTATAATTTTCAGAAATTCTACATCAGCTATCGCGAATTGCGATTTGCGATTCAATAATAATATTGATATCGATTACATGGAAATTAGAATTTGGATTTTTGGTATTTCTTTTATGACAATTCCGTTGTACACATAATAATATTCTTATTTCTTAGTATTGATAAACTTGTATAGGTCTACGATTTTATAATTATTTATTATTACTAATAATTAGTTATTACATACTTACACCATAGAATCTAGGGCCTGAATCAAAAATAATAATACCGTTTACCGTTATATACTTATATGGAATTAAACTGATCAAAAATTTTGGTTCAAAGTTATTTTTCAATATTCGACAATGGCTGAATATTAATCTTCAATACATAAGTCGTAATGCATAGTATAAGTATTCATGATTTGTTGTATATAAAATGGATTTTTTTTTCCAATGTTATATTTCCTTTTTGTTTTAAATAATTCAAATCATTCATTAAATATGGAGGTACCTTATCATAATCATAATTATATGTATATATTTGTAATTAACGCAATAAACACTTACGCATGAATGCATAATTCATCTCGGCTTAAAAAAATTTTAGTTCTACAATATTGTAAATATTATATTCATGGTTAAACTTAGATTATATTTATATATACATAAGCAATAATAAATTATATTATATTTTCTTTAAAGTATATTTATATTAGCATTTGCTAAACATCGTGTAATTTTAAAAATATTTTAGCTCTTTTTATTCAAAACCAAGCGCCTCATTCAATAGGTTTCAGTAGTAACTATACGGCTGTCAACTAATAATTGTAATGAACTGCGACAGTATACAAAAACACGAACATTATACGTGATGCGGACCTGTGTGGTGCCGCGTGGATGGTAGGTGAATTCACCTTAACCTCAAGGTGACCAAAAAGACACAATAAACAAAACAAAAAACCAGAGACACGCACTAGTGTAAGTTGGTGTTTATTGGTAGTCAAAATCATACAATAAATATTGCGAAACGGTATCGATGGTGTATACTACTATGGTAGTTGTTCTTTTACTCGCGGGGACGTGTGTGGAGGTCTGTGTCCGGGTCGCTGAGAAAAACAAGTGACTTATACACAGATATAAGTATTATATACACAGTTGTATTTTATATATCTGTGGACTTATACGACTATACGAGCCGGTTCGCCGAACGGCCGGTCGACGTTTCCAGGCGCGCGTGTCGCGCGCCGTCGTCGTCCGTCGTCGATTGGCGGTTTGATTGAGAAGCCACGGCGCGGCTTCCGCGCAAAGGCTGTTTGAATTCAAACAGATATTGCGCGGGACGCCGGGACCGCGTCATACGTATGTTTTACGTACATACATACACCAATATACGTATAATGTAGGTACAGATTACGTTTATTAGAGCGATATTTATCGTCTTTTGTTGGGTCAAAAGATCACTCTTTCACGAATATTCAACGAATAATACACCTCAATTAACATATTATCCTTTTCGTATATTATACGTTTAGATAAGGGATATTATACGTATGTTTTTTTGGTGTATGTTCGGTACATTTTAGGTATATTTTTTGGCCAAAATTGGTATATAATACGTATTTTTTTCGTCTGCGATTAGAACATTTTACGTACGTTTTTCGTGTAAGATTGGAATATTATAGGTATATTGTTGGTGCATGATTGTGCCATTTTAGGTATGGTTTTTGGCCACAATAATTATAATAGAAATAAAGTATCCCATTGACTATACTCATTCAACTTAAACTGAAAGACATTATGCTATTAAAGTATTTAAAACATCAATATTGGTGTTCAAAGATCGTGATCGTTATGTCACTGGTGAATTTCAGGTACCTACTCAAAAGTTCCCAATTAGCTTATTATTTTGCAGGTTTAAAATTGTTGATTTAAAACTTGATTCAATGATTAATTTCTATTTATATATAATATATATTGTACATAGATGTACTATAAATATTATTTTTTTAGCAATGAACTTACATTATTTCAAAATAGTATGTTTAAAAATTTAATATGGATTTATACAATTTTGATATTTAATATTTTCCTGTTTTTTTTCTCACCCTTTATGTTGAAGAAAACACTACCTATATTAATAACTAATAAGGACTTAATGTACATTTTTAACTTGTGCTTCAAAATTAGATATCGATATTTATTATAACATAATTCCAAATGTGTTTAGTAATTTTTGATTTATTCAGTTTGTTATTTAAACATAAACTTAATACTTGATAATTTTAAAATATTTTAAATCATCAACTAACGATTTGTTTTTGTAATACAAATTTATTGTATTTTTTCTTTTGTAGATTTAGACATGGTTACTGCAGGCATAATCCAAGAAAAATGGTACGTTTATGGGCTGAAAAAGAAATGCGCAATCTTGCTCGGATGTATGCAGCTGGTCTACCGGTACCTCAACCAATTTTGTTAAGATCGCATGTTGTAATGATGTCGTTTATCGGTAAAGATGGTTGGCCTGCTCCAAAATTAAAAGTATTTGTGCTGGATATATTTAATTAATTTTCTTTGGATAATTATCTGTAATTATAATAACAATTATAATTATAATAATAATTCTCCTATCTGTTTATTATATTTTTATTTTAACAGGATGCTCGTTCAACTACGTCTAAAGCGCGCCAACTTTATAGAGATTGTTTAATAATTATGTGGAAACTATACAACATTTGTAAATTTGTACAATATGCTGATCTTAGCGAGTTTAATTTATTGTAAATATATTTTTAACATAATATTATAAATAAATAAACACAATAAATACAATTATAGGTATAATGATGGTGAAATAGTGATGATAGACGTATCTCAAGCTAGTCAAGCTGTTGAATATGAACATCCATATGCATTAGAATTCCTTAGAAAAGATTGTACAAATATGACAGGTAAATAATTTTCTATTAATAGATACTTTGTTGATAATTGAAGTCATATAATTTTTTTTCAGAGTTTTTCCGTCATCAGGATGTCGGTACATTAACCATTAAATGTTTATTTGACTTTCTCACTGATCCCACCATCACATTAGATAATATGGAAACTTGTCTTGATCGTCTTCAAGTAAATAATATGGTCAATTAAGATCCATTAACAAATGAAGAAATGGCTGAATAAGAAGTATTCAAAAATGCATATATTCCAAAAAATCTAAATGAGCCATGAGGTACATTATACAATACATCCAAAATTGTTTAAGCAAATTGAGCTTTTGTTAACCATTTTTAAATGAATCTATATTGATTTTGAAAGGGATATTAGTTTGGTAAAATCTGGGCAAACTAGTGAAGATTTAATTTATCAAAACATTTTTGGACTTGAAGACGATTTATCTGGACCTCAAAATACACCAGCTATATTAGAAGATGATGATTCTGATGAAAGCAATAGTAGTAGGTACATCAGAAAAAGAAAATATTGATTCTGATGAAAAAAGTAAATTTTCTAATTCTGCAAGACCAAAAAATGAAGACGCTGAAAGTAAACGAGTAAGATTTTATTATAATACTTGTCTTTTACTATATACAGTCTACTGAACTGCAGATATTTAATGTCACAACTTTTGTATTTCATAGTTGAAAACTTGAAAATAGTAATAAATACTAATGGATAGGCAGTCTGAATATTTTGAATACTTTTTAAAAGTATTTTTGACATAATATAAATGCTTGTACTTAAATACCACAAAGTTAGATTTATTAATTATTTTTTACAACAATTTGACATGTATAAAAATAATATTGTATTCATTGAAAATTGAAATATGAAATTGGCTTAATCTGTAAGTCTTAACTCCAAAAATGTAATTTCATATTTATTAATATCATGAGTATGGGAGTACTAAAGATAAATTTTTATCTTATTTTCAAGGCTATATAATTATATAAAAATAAAACAATATATTAATGAGATTAAATTTATAAAAACAGAAAACATTTTGTATAGAAAAAGTAGGTAATTTAAAGGTATAAAGTTTAAACCAATTTTATATGGATTTTGTATTTGAATTTTTTTAAATAATTTCATATTAATAGTTAATACCACTTTTTATTTTTTACTTTTTGTAATTTAATTGTATCAATATGAATGAAATATCTAAACATATATTTACTTCTAAATAGTTTGACGTATTATTATTTTTTTTCAAATTGTTAAAATCTATGGTAAGTAGTAACATAATATAGGTACTTATACTGATTACTGATATAAAATAAATATATAACATGAACGTTATATAGCATAAAATTGAAAAAAAAATACTTGTTTTTGTATTCAAATACTTAGTGAGTATTCATAAAATACATTTTTATAATAGTATTTTATTCGAATACTAGTATTAATGTTTTAATAATTTATCAAAAGTATATTTTACAAGACTGCGGATAGGTAACTGATAAGTAGAAAACTGAACTAAGATATTATTTGTCTTAAGATAATGAAATTAACTTGAAATTTAAATCACCTAATTTTTCAACAGAAGATACAAATTATTGTTTTTCAAAAAACTGTAAATTAAAAATTTGATAGATTATAATATTACAGTATTTCTACATAAGTTAATAATATGCATTTTGTTTTGCTTTAATATTTTGAACCCTGGTATGACATAACAACTATGTTGGTTTTATTATTATAACCTGTAATAAACTTTTATTATTATTTATTATATGAATATATTTTGATAAAATATATTTATTGGGATAAGCCGGATAACTTATTAAATTTTGATGGTACCTATGGAGTTTGTGATTTTGGAAGAATCAAGAAGATAATCTTGAAACTAATAGTTGTAATGAACTAATACTTAGACCTTGAGTATATTGAAGAAATAAACACTTGGTGGTGAACAGAAAATAAAAAAAATTCACTAAAGACAAATAAGAAAAAATATGGAGAATTAAATTGAAAAAACTTGAATATTGAATTGTATCCACAAGGAAAAATCTTTAACAGTATGTCACATTTCCACAATTCTAGCTGATACGCATACCTGATAAAACTGAACATCAATTTTTACTGGATATGATATCTATATATTACAAATGATTGTTTGATATCTAGTGCACGGAAAATCGATGCACGTTAGACGCCGATAAATTTATATATAATAAATATATAATAATAATATTAATATATAAATTTATATTTAAATAATGGGTAAACTTTATAAACAATTGGAATCTTTGGCTAAAAAAGAAAGAATTGTTATTAATAATAAAGGTATTGAAAATATTGATAATATAATAGTTAAGCAAAAGAAAAAAATTCTTAATTTGTTAATTAAAAAATATAAAAATATAATAAATACACCCAAAAGTACTTATATTTTAATATCTTTATTAAGCATGTTAGATAGGCCAGAAAATTTATTCTGTTATGAATGTAATGATAATTGAATCGAAAAAGGTATGCCTATTTAAGAACACAATATATTATATTAAAAATTATCTAAAATTATTTAAAGTTAAAATTAAATGACGTGTGCGATATTTAATTTTAACTTTAAATATAGAATTTATTAGAATTTATAGAATAATTTGAAAACTATAACGTGATCTGTTTTTCCGGTCACGATTTTATTAAAGAATAACTGAGAATTTGAAATTATTATAAATATTTTTATAGAACTATCTAGATCTATGTTTTTAGAATTAAATATGCAACAAAGTCATTACATATTATTTCAATACCATCTTGATCGGTGATAAATAATTTAATATGTTTAAAATCTATTACATTTAGAGGAATATATTTAATGTAATTAGCTATATATTAGCCACCCTTATCACATTTAACAACACATAAAATATCATCGTCTATGTGCAAATATTTCTCAGTTTTATGGTTAGAAATGGAATTTTGAGTTATATTGCAATGTACTTCGATAAACTTATTTTCAAAATAATTACTGAATATAACATCTAAACCAATATAGGTATCTATGGATATATGTTTTACCTAATCCTAAGCTTGATATTACATTTTCATCCAATAAATAATAAATACTAGATATTATTGTAATTTGTTTGTCTGTTTGTTGTATTTTTATATTTGATGGTAGTATTTTATTTAATTGATCAATAGTTTAATTTTTCTTTCCTATTATAGTTTTGCTATTTACTGTTTCAATAACACCATTTATTTCTTTTAAGAAACCTTGAGTGTAAAATGTTGGCATTAGTGTACCATTTACAGTTCGTTTAAATGGTTGTTCAGTGTGATAACGTGAAGAAGAATTAAACAATGGAATTCCTAAACAATTAGTTAAATAAGAGTCAAAAACATACTCATAGTTAGTTGAAATCACTAAATATTTATTAACCACTGTAATTTTAGTATTAACAACGTTCTTGTCTGGATTTAATAAATTTTGAATTTCATTAATAGAATATATTCCCCTATATTATGTTAACCTATATTATGTGAATCTTTTTCTACTTTAAACTCACATTCCTGTTCAATATTTATGTAATATTCATCACTAGTGGGATAGTAAATTTTTTTGTCACTTGTCATTGAAAAATATATATTACCATTAAAACCTAAATATTTTTTTAATTTTTCATCCAAACTATAGTAACATGGAGATTCTATTTTAATTTTTTTATCAACAAAAGAAATGGTTAATGGACTTATTAATTTATTTAATTTTTCAACACTATAAAGCCCACTTTTAATATCAATTACGTTAGTGTCAATTGTTATCTGACAATCATTTTCTATTTTGATTAAATCACCAGAATTAGTAAATGACAAAGCAATATAATCCAATAGACATATTTTCTTCATTATTATGTATATAATGTTCTAAATGTATAGAGCCATTTATGATTTTGATTAATTTCATTTAATAACAAAAAAATGTTAAGTTATTCAAATTCTATCAAATGGATTGTTTTCCTATTATCAAGAGTTTTTTTACGCTTATATTTCATATACATTTCGCCATCATATCTGTATATATCTAACTCAGAAATAATATTAACAAACCTTTGGGGCAATAATAGCATATCCTTATTGTTTAATACAACAGAAACTCTTTCACCATATTTTGTATTTACTTTTCTAATTGTTGTTATTTTATAAAGTTCATTGATATTTAAATCAGATTATTTTGTATATTTGTAATCTTCTTCATTTAATTTCTTTAATACTTTAATTACAGTAGTGTCAAAAGAATTACCTTCAAACTCTATACGATGATATGAATCTCCATTATCAAGTATTTTTTTATACCTGTAATAAAGGTAAAGTGTAGACCACTTTTTATCATTCATTTCATATATATTTTCAGAAATAGTTTTAAAAAATCTATCTGGTAAAATGAGCTTATATTTATTATCCAATACAACAGATACTTTATCCCACCCATTAATAATAACAAGTTCAAAAGCAGTAACTTCATATCTTTTGTCAGCTACCAGTTCTGATAATTTAATAAATTTATACTTGTATCCATATTTATTTAATCGAACTTTTAAGTCTACTGAATCAATTGAATCAGACATTTTTATATTTATATATATTTAATATAGTCCAGTCAATGAATGACCCAAAATGAGGTGTAGAGTGCGTGAGCAGGTAACTTAGCGAAACTTTAGAAAATTGTTCGGGGGGCTAAGGGTGTTAACATACTAAAAGTCCTGACACCTAGGTGTTGAGCTGGAGGGGGGGAGGGGGGTTAAAGTTGCGCTTTTTGGGTTTTTCGCTTATATCTCGAAAACGGTACAGCGGAGGAAAATTTTTTTAAATAATAAAATAAAGCTCATGAAATTATCTAAAACTTATATATCATAGGTTTTTTTCGAATTCGCAACCGTTTTCGAGCTACACCTTCGAAAAAAGTAGAATATTACAAAAAAAACCATTTTACCTCACTATATTCATAAAACAATCCATCATATTGTCTACCATATTCGTTTTTTTCATTTTTACTTTGCCACCCCCCTCCTTGGATGACCCTCCCTCAAAAAACATCAAGATTAGGGCCTTTGTGTTTATTAAAAAATTAAAATATGCATAAATTGAGTTTTTAATTTTTTTTCAATTTATTCTTGCAATAAAAATGTTATACAATATATTATATTACATATTATACTTATATAAATTTAAACTATATCATCATTTGTTCATAAAATCATAATTTCCATCCAACTTCTAAAAATATTAATAGCGATTATAAACTTAATGATAGACTATAATATTGTTGGCTAGTAATATATATAGATATAATAGTAAATATTTGGAAATGTTCAAAAATGTTGTTCAAATCCTAAAAATCTAAACTAAAAACTATATTTTGCCGCTGTACCAAAGATTGTATTGTATGTGAGGCACCCACTACTACCGACAAAGATGCAATGGATGAACAACCTGGGCCCTCAAATTCAAAGAAAATGAAAATATGATTTCATGTAAAATTAAGAATTATTTGAGAACTACTTATCTGTAAAATAAAGTGTGTACCTATTATCATTAATTTTGTCTGTTTTATTTCTTAAAAGTGTGGCCACATATATTATTACATGAACGAACAAAGGTTGTGGGTCAAAAATATGATATATACATTTTCTGAAAATTGCAAAATGTTATGCAAGCATATAATATTATATAGACATACGGGTAACGGAATGACAAGTCGAACACTCGAACATTTCCAAATATTTACTATTATATCTATATATATTACTAGCCAACAATATTATAGTCTATCATTAAGTTTATAATCGCTATTAATATTTTTAGAAGTTGGATGGAAATTATGATTTTATGAACAAATGGTGATATAGTTTAAATTTATATAAGTATAATATGTAATATAATATGTCGTATAACATTTTTATTGCAAGAATAAATTGAAAAAAAATTAAAAACTCAATTTATGCATATATTAATTTTTTAATAAACACAAAGGCCCTAATCTTGATGTTTTTTGAGGGAGGGTCATCCAAGGAGGGGGGTGGCAAAGTAAAAATGAAAAAAACGAATATGGTAGACAATATGATGGATTGTTTTATGAATATAGTGAGGTAAAATGGTTTTTTTTGTAATATTCTACTTTTTTCGAAGGTGTAGCTCGAAAACGGTTGCGAATTCGAAAAAAACCTATGATATATAAGTTTTAGATAATTTCATGAGCTTTATTTTATTATTTAAAAAAATTTTCCTCCGCTGTACCGTTTTCGAGATATAAGCGAAAAACCCAAAAAGCGCAACTTTAACTTCCCCTCCGGCTCACCACCTAGGTGTCAGGACTTTTAGTATGTTAACACCCTAAGCCCCCCGAACAAATTTCTAAAGTTTAGCTAAGTTACCTGCTCACGCACTCTACACCTCATTTTGGGTCATTCATTGACTGGACTATATTAAATATATATAAATATAAAAATGTCTGAATTAAAAATGTCTGAAAATCTGTCTGGAATTCCATTGTTTAATTCTTCTTCACGTTATCACACTGAACAACCATTTAAACGAACTGTAAATGGTACATTAATGCCAAAATTTTACACTCAAGGTTTCTTAAAAGAAATAAATGGTGTTATTGAAACAGTAAATAGCAAAACTATAATAGGAAAGAAAAATTAAACTATTGATCAATTAAATAAAATACTACCATCAAATATAAAAATACAACAAACAGACAAACAAATTACAATAATATCTAGTATTTATTATTTATTGGATGAAAATGTAATATCAAGCTTAGGATTAGGTAAAACATATATCCATAGATATATTGGTTTAGATGTTATATTCAGTAATTATTTTGAAAATAAGTTTATCGAAGTACATTGCAATATAACTCAAAATTCCATTTCTAACCATAAAACTGAGAAATACTTGCACATAGACGATGATATTTTATGTGTTGTTAAATGTGATAAGGGTGGCCAATATATAGCTAATTACATTAAATATATTCCTCTAAATGTAATAGATTTTAAACATATTAAATTATTTATCACCGATCAAGATGGTATTGAAATAATATGTAATGACTTTGTTGCATATTTAATTCTAAAAACATAGATCTAGATAGTTCTATAAAAATGTTTATAATAATTTCAAATTCTCAGTTATTCTTTAATAAAATCGTGACCGGAAAAACAGATCACGTTATAGTTTTCAAATTATTCTATAAATTCTAATAAATTCTATATTTAAAGTTAAAATTAAATATCGCACACGTCATTTAATTTTAACTTTAAATAATTTTAGATAGGTTTAATTGATCTAACGCTGTCGAATAATCCGACCACGTCATTTAATTTTAACTTTAAATAGATTTTAGATAATCTTAGTCCGTGCTTGGATGCAAATAATCTTTATGGGTGGGCAATGAGTAAATATTTACCTACTGGAGATTTCAAATGGGTTGATACTTGATAATCTGAATGATTTTGATGTAATGAATATTTCTGATAAATCACGTAAAGGTTATATTTTAGAAGTTGATTTATCTTACCCTAAAGAACTTCATGATCTACATTCAGATTTCCCTTTAGCACCAGAAAGACATTTTGATAACAAACAACTCCCAAAATTATTAACAACTTTGTATGATAAGAAAAAATATATAATACATTATGAAACACTAAAATTATATATTAATTTTGGTTTAAAGATAGAGAAAATTCATAGAGTATTAGAATTTAGTCAATCTCCTTGGTTAAAAGTTTATATTGATATTAATACTAATCTTAGATCAGAAGCTAAGAATGAGTTTGAAAAAGAATATTTCAAATTAATGAACAATAGTGTTTATGGACTTTTTATGATGAATGTTCGAAATCGTGTTGATATAAGATTATGTTCTAATGCATCAAAAGTAGAGAAATTAATTACAAAACCAAATTTTGATAGAAGGACAATTTTTACAGAAAATTTAGCTGCAGTACGTATGAAAAGAACAAAAATATTTTTCAAACAACCAATATATGTAGGAATGTGTATTTTAGATTTATCTCAAATGTTAATGTATGATTTTTATTATAATATTATAAAGAAAAAATATGGAAATAGAGTTAGATTGTTATATACAGATACAGATTCACTAATATTAGAAATAAAAACTAATGATTTTTATCAAGATGTGAAAATTATGTTAGATCATTTTGACACTTCAGATTATCCAAACGATAATATTTATGGTTTACCTTTAGTTAACAAAAAAGTTTTAGGCAAGTTTAAAGATGAGTTAAATGGAAAAATTATGACAGAATTAATAGGTTTAAGATCCAAATTATATTCACATCGAATCTTAGATACTGAAAAAGAAATTAAAAAAGCTAAAGGTGTTAAAAAAAATGTTGTAGATAATAAAATATGTTTTAATGATTTTGAAAATTGTTTACTAACAAAAGAATCAAAATATGTTAAACAAAATTTATTTAGAACTAAGAAACATGATATTTTTACTGTAGAACAAAACAAAAAAGCTCTAAGTGTGTATGATGATAAAAGATTTATTTTGGAAAATGGTATTGATACATTAGCTTGGGGACATTATAAAACAAATATAGATAGAAATGATTTTGTAAACCATCTCAATACATTAATTAGAAATCAAAATCAAAAAGATTAGAAAAATATTTTTACGAAATATTGCATTTAGATTTTTATTTTTAATAGAACAATTCTATTAAAAATATTTTGATTAATAATAATAATAATAATAATATTTATTAATTCTCCAACAAACTATATATACAAGTTAAATTACTAAAAGACAAATTTTTGTTGGATCACCTTCTAAGCCAAATGCTGTGCTGGAGGTGAGAGTTCATGCAATTACAATATTAAATAAACATATCAAGAACATAACATAAGATAAGAAAAAAAAAAAAATAAATAAAATAGATAATAAACAGAATAAAAAGTAATAGTTTTTTTTTTTTTTTTATTTTTATAATTTTTATTTACAATCTGTTACAATAAAAATATGAACAATAATAGTAAAATAGATAATTGAATGAATAAGTGGCTTGAGGAAAGGACGGATTTAAGAAGCCTTCCAGTGAAGACACTTTGTAAGGTTAGTAAAAAGTAATAGTGAAATTACAATATAATTATTCAAAATAAAGTAATATAAGCTGTAAGCAATTCAGATTAAACTAAGGTATTTAATCCTAAAGACATAAGTTTTCTTTTTAATTGTATAAAATTATTAAATTCATGAATGCAAATATTATATTTAATACAAAAATTAATAAACACAAAATATGGTCCTGACTGACAAAAAGTAGTTCTTAATTTAGGCAGTGATAAATTAATATCTTTAACAAATTGTGTGTTATATTTATGTGTAGGAGTATTAATTGTGTTAATATATTTAAAAACAACCGCAAAAACATGTATTATAATAACTTAAATAAATAACTTAACAATAAACTTTGTAACAACAAAGTTTTATCAAACATGGAGAGACTTTATATTTAAGATTTTACATTCATTATATAATAAAGTTGTTGGAAAGAGTCTTGGCTTATTGAAGATATATTTTACAAGACAATTTAATGTTGTATTTAATTTTTTAATATGAGTGATAAGCGTTACCCCAAAATGCTATACCATAAGACACTATTGATTGCACTAGAGATTTATAAACTATTGTTTTAACATTAACAGTTAAAATATTTTTCAAACATTTAAAAACATAAAAGAATTTACGAACTGACTTTATTAAATTATCTATATGGACATTCCATTTTAAGAGTTCATCAAAATGTATACCTAGATATTTTACAGAGGATGTTTTATTTATTATAGGACAGACGCAATTATTTCCTTCTCTTTTACAAAAATAGTGTGTAAAATTAATTTATCAAAGTTTAAGTTATTATTATTATTTTTTATTCTAAAATGTATGAAGTTGGATTTGGTAAAATTAAGTTGTAATGAATTATTATCCAGCCAATTCTTAATTAAATTAATACCAATATTGGCTTCATGTTTTAAGTTATTTAGACAAGAGTTACTAACAAGGAAAACCGTGTCATCAGCAAAATGAGTGGTCATCAGTGATTATTATTACATTTCGATTTTAATTATTAATATCATAAGTATTATGGCTATAAATTCCAAACGAAGTCCGTCCGGCCTTTTTTTATTTAAGATTCTTATAAAGCACCTAAAAACACATATTTTAAAAAAAAACAAAACCTAAAAAACCGATAGGTTGCTAAACTAGAATTGTTCCAAAAAATTATATGTACTTCAATTATCAACAAAGTATCTATTAATAGAAAATTATTTACCTGTAATATTTGTACAATATAACTTATAAGTAATATTATTATACATGCTTTGGTACTAAACCGTTATGTATTTTTGTCTTTTCGGTCTCTATTCAAGTGGGTTCTTATAATAATAATTATCTTAGGTTCTTCAAATTTGATTTCGGGAAACATTGTTTGATCTTCATCTTTACTGAACACATATTTTTCCCTTAGTCTAGATTCCAATTTATTAATTTCAATGCACATATCATTACATTCGACTGACTGAGTCTTCATTAATTGTATTTGTATATATTCTTTTCTTTTATCAAAAATAATTTTGAATTTTTTAATATCTTCACAACTCTTCATATTACTTATAGCAGATGTTCTATAATATTTCGTAATAACACTCACATTTTTTATTAATTTTCTCATCATTTTGATTGATTTTTAGTCAATTAATTAAGATAATGAACAAATATAATAAACTATTAAATGTTAGAAAAGAATTAAAAACTGAATCTCTTATGTTATTGACTTATACTACTGCTATAAAAAAAGTTAGTTTATTTATTTCTATATGGCCAAGTACAAAATAAAAACATATTTAAAAAATAATAATTGAATGACTAAAATTAGTTGTTGTCAATAACAATCTTCTGAAATTTGGTGTCTGTTCTTGACAAATATCACTAATTTTACGTGTCTCTTTTAAATTGCTATTCAATTAATCCCAGGAAATCCTACCAAAACCCATTAAAAAAAAAAATTTTAAATATGGTTATATAATATATAAATATAAGTATATAACAACAAAAATATTGTATATATAAAAATAGCAATAAACACATTTGATGTACAACTAATGGAGTAACTAGTATCATCTTGAGGTGAGTGTCAGGTGATTTATTATTAATTATATAATATTCGTCACAATAGGAGTAAAAAAAACAAACATGTATATCTGATTGTATGCTGATAAAATGTATTTTACAATCAATGGTTTTAAAAAAAAAATAAACTTAACAGGACAATGCATAAATTGCTGCATAAAATTGAAAATAATTTAATTTATTAACTTCTAAAAAAAAAATAGTAACTTGTTATGCAACTTAGTTTAAAGTAACTTAACTTTTTAACTTGTTAATCCCCAGCCTTATATATTTGTATAAAAAACAAGATTTGATTGACAAACAAATTAATAATATATTATTTTGTTTATCAGAAGTATCTAAAATATTGTTTTACGTTTTATAAAAACATACATAATATTAGTATTGTAATGAGTAATGACTAACATAAAAAAAAATATTGATAAAAAGTTACAAGACATGAGACTATGCCCTATAAACTAAAATGAATAATTATTGTTATATTATTGAAATCTATCCTACTATTTATTGCAGCCATTTGCAGACTGCAGCAATGGTAGGCGGGAAACAGCCACCGCCGGGTGACGGGTAAAACCGGGCTGAGGTCGGCGACTGCAGAAGCCTCCACGGCTCTTGACTAGAGCTCAGCTGGTAATAAAAGGTCCGTGGTTGTAGCCGAAAGGCGCCTAAATCCAGGAGCTCACTGTGGAGGTTTTTACGGTTTTTTTTTCGGTTCCAAAATCCAATAGATATTTTATCTATTTATTCATACGGCAATTTAGCTACACTATCCCAGTAAACACAATACGTATAATCTACGTTTATAATAAGAATATTTTTGGTGTATACATATACGTAGTTATTAATCGTATAATAACGGTATAGTATATACGTTTAAATAAGTTTATTTTACGTTTGCAATACGTATATACCTATACTCGTATATTTTTCGTTTATAAATGTACGTTTATTCAACGTAAAACATACGTTGTTCCTAGTAAGTCGAACTTACGTCAAAATATGGTTAATGATATACATATATTTTACGTTTACAGTACGTATACATATACTCGTATTTTTTTCGTTATGAAAGTACGTTTATTCTAAATAGATCAAATATAGATTATTGGTTGGTCGAACTTACGTCGATGTATGGGTAACATAATTTTTAATATAAGTATTTATACTTCAATTTTGATATATTTTCCTTTATTTTTTTGGGACTTCTTTATTCCTAGTGTGGGTCTTTCTTTTCCTATTACCTTCATCGATTCACTATACAAAGGCAAGAACCACTCAGGCTGTAGTCTAAGTTGAGCAATCAAATGTTCACACTAGAAAGAAGTGAACATTGACTATGCAACATTGTTTTTAATTTTTCGATCACAAATTCAAAAAAAAGTATTCAAAATTGAAAAACTCAAAAAATGAATTTTCAAAAGAATAAGAACTTTTTTGAATTTGTGATAGGTATCGAAAAATTAATAACAACGTTACACAGTCAATGTTCTCTTCACTCTAAAGTGAACATTTGGTTACTTAGCTTGGACTATAGCCTGAGTGGTTCTTACCTACCCAAATCAGTTATTACTATGTCTTACATTTGTCAGATGGAGACAACACATGATCCCGGTAGCGTCCTCATAAGGGGTAGTTTTAACTATCTTTTTTGTTTAATGCTCTCTTAAACGAGTTGATAAAGAGATTGTTTAAAAATTATAACTAAAAGCCATGACATAGATAAATATATTAAAATATAATATAATGTACATAATATATGATATCATAACAATTAATATTTCAGACGAAATATGAAAAAAATAAATTTATCAAATACATTTTTTTTAAACACTTAGCATACATACTTTTTACAAATACACATAAAAATGTAGAACACAATATGGTAAACGCAATATGAAAAAAAAAAATAACACATAAATCAATTTTCATTCATTATATCTTAATTATTAGTAATGTATTGAAAAAAACACAATAACATCCTATAGGTAAGTCTTCTTTTTTTAAATGATTACACACCGACAACATTTTTTTTTTTTTTTTAGTTTAATTCTACACAAAAAATCTTATTGCACTCAGGAATACTATAATATAATACTATAATATAGCACCACAAAAGTTATACAAAATTGCATCAGTTTTAGAAAAGAAAAAATTGGTTAAATGGTTAAAAAGAATAAAAATAAACGCAAGAACAATCAAATATATATAAAAAAAAAACTCAACACTTATTTACACGAAATAATACGTAAAAGCGATTAGTTAAAACCCAATCGTTTGAGTGTGTTTTTGCCAGCTAATAATATAGTGACGTTGTAACATTGTGACAATCCGATGTTTTTGATTTGGAACGGAACTTTCTTAGTTCTGAGGTGTGGGCAGGATCATACATTGACCGATAACGAGACGGCACCCACAAACTACTGTGTTGGCTGTAAAATTTACAGTATCCACCATCAAGCAAATACATTTCTGGATAGTCCAAGTAAGGATACCACATACTGTTATTTTCCCTATCTGCGTTACGCAGGTATCGCGACCTACAAAACAAACAATAATTTCTTTGGTTTAAAAAAAAAAAAAGGTGGGTAAGTGGATGACGCTCTGCTGTACTGTAGGTTACAAGTGGGTCACTGTACAATGAATGGTATTAAATTTGAATTCAATGATATAATATCATTGTATAAGAAAAACGATTCTGAGCGGAGACGGTATGTCAGTCTAGGTATAAGACAAGTCATATCATATACTTTTCTATGGTATTAAATTATATGGAATTTATGAATAAATTCCTTAAAATATGCACAGTCTTATCATTGAGCATACTTCTTATTCCTTATACTATGGTAGATTGTATAGATAGGCCATAATATTTTGATTTTTCAGTTTCATATATCCCCGAATAATATTTTTAAAGTACAACAAAAACAAAGATCGTTAATATTGATTTTAATATGTAATTTCGTCCAAATTTGAATTTAAAATGTCTGTAAAAAATAACTGTGTTCATATATTTTTTAGATTTATTGGTTACAGTATGAACTATTTATGAGAATCTTTGTTTTAAATTTGCAATCCTTAGCTATAAAAACTGAACATTTTATAATTTATTAATTACAATGATAAATTTTATCAAAATTCGATCTTTAAATGCTTATAAAAAAAAATTGTGCCAAGGTAATTTTTAATATTTTTCAACTGATATTGTAACAATATATCAGAAGTCTTGGTTCAAATTTTTACACTTTATGGCCCAACAGATAGAACTTAATTTATATTCATAGAAAAAAAAACTAAAAAAAATTGAAAGCTCTAAATGTCCGTAAACAGCTCAAAAAGAGTCAAAATATTTTCAAAATTGTATGATGTAAGGTGAAGTGGGGTAACTGCGACGGAATTTTGAATAGTTCAACTTGATCTGTCAATTTCTCCTGAAATAATGAACTTAAAAATATGATGATTATTGCAATGTACTGATATGGAAGTGGTCTATCTAAGTACACTGTCAACATTATGTGAAATATCTTAAAAACATTTTTACGATTGAAAAAAAAAAAAAAAAAAAAATGTCGCACTTGCCCCTTGACAAGGGGTAAGTGCAAAACGGACTGTTTAAAAATACTAATACCACTGTTATTTAAACGTGGGGTAAGTGCCTTAAACTAAAAATTTTTAGCTATAATACTACTTTTACAAAGCTGTATTTGTTCAAATATTTTAGAAATGACAGCTATTGTTATAATTACAAATATATTGTCACATTTTTATCATATCCTACAAACTATGAGCATCTCCTTACTTACATTTCACTTCACTGTCATATAAGAAATTTTAAGATTTATAAAGTATTTTGATAAAACAACAATGCAAATATTTTCAAATACTTTATTAAACAATTTATGTTTGTATATACCTATATAAAAAACAAAAAGTTAACAAATGTCATAAGTACTTAGTAATAAATAATAATAAAATATGAAAAATTTTAGTAATAATTATTTAAATCAAATGCTTTAAGTAACTACTAAATTATTTTCATATATTTTATCAGACTTTAGATTATTTTTTTAGATTATATTGACTAAATGTAATTCCAAATATAAATTCTCATCCTTAAAATATTTTCTCATCCTTTTTTTTATATCAGTTAAAATACATCAAAATATTAGTATAAATCATAATTAATAGATTAAGTATTAATATGACACATAACTGACATTGTATTAGAAAAAAACAATGTTTAGCTCAAGTAACTAAAATAATTAATATTAATTTTTAAAAGGGGCAACTGCGGCATGTCATGTCGCACTTACACATAAATGAATGTCGCATTTACCCCGTTGGTCATTTTACACGGGGGAAGAGCATAATCCGAATTAGCGAATATAATTGTATAATCAAACACGTAAATATCACTAAAAACCTAAGCTACACATAAAATTACACAACTTAGCTTATTTAGAAGCTTCCCAAATAAATTTGAATTGCCAAAAAAAATAATTGATAACAAGTCTACTTTTCAAAACGCGAGTGATATTACAATTGTTG